GGGGGCAGAGCTATGCAAGCCCCGCATACTGGACATTTGCTCCTACTCCTGCACTCTGTACTGTTCTCCTGCGTCTCCAACCTCAGGTTCACATCGCCAGTTTTCCTCCTTTAAACCTCTTCAACTTTCCATTTCCACCCGACACACTCAAGCCCCCAGAGGCAATGCCCCTGCCCTCAAACCTATCAGTCCAACTGAGCTCCCAGTGACCACACCACTCTGCCTGATGAGTTTAATTTTTTTGACCATAGACCCTTTAGAACAGAAAGCGTTTCCTGCAAGTTAGCACAGCCAGAACACCAGGGCTTTAAGTGAGGACATGTCTTTAGACAACACCAGAGAATGAACGTACCACACAGTAGACGTTGATACTGACTCTGTTGGAAAGGGGAAAAGCTACATCAGACCATACTCACTCTTTACTGTGCCTTACTGAAAGCTAAGGCCCTGGCTTGCTGCTAGTACAAGTCTGACAATTTCAACAGATCCTCAAAACCTCTAAGAAAAAAAAAGCTTTCCAGAGGGATTTCTGTGCTACATTCCCCGAGTTCGCTGGGAGAGCAAAAGGTCACTCCACGAGCTATGGGGATTAGACTCTGTGCATCAACCAAGCACAGCAATGTTCATCCAAAGGGTTTTAACAGCAGTATCAGACCTTCAAGCTTCAAAAAAGCTGTTTGCAAGAACCGTTGGCAAGGACTCAGAGGAGTTGTGACTTTCTTAATTTGGACAACAGGGTATTCTGTGCCAGGACCATCTTACACTACAGAAAGGTAAAAGCCTAAGTGTAATCATCCACTGCACCTGCCTCCTCTCCCTTCCCAGAACCAGTAGGTCATTGAACGAAGTAGATCAGATCAACAGCTACCAACCTTTTCACTCTGACCAAAGCAACAACTTCTGGTGAACTTGTGCCATGTTCTCTTAAGAGAGCAGAATCACACCACCTCTCACCTGATTTCAGGAATCTCTCTTCTGCATCTGGAGAAGCAGAAACTTCAGAGGCATCTGAGGAACACAGCACCAGCTCTGGAAAACCTGAAGGTCCTTCTAGAAGTTTATTAGTGGGGTCACTGGAATTGGATCCTAGTTCAGAGAAGGAGCACTCTGCTTCAAGGACAGGAGGGGACTCTTTGGTTGAAGATGGAGTTGAAACCAAAGGACTCGGTCCCCTCTGGGTCTCTCTGTCAGGACTGCATTGTGCAGGAAGACTTCCTTCAAATTCAGACCTCGCCACAGAATTCACCTAGCATAATGAAATGCATTTGGTAAAAACATTCATTCTGCCCGGCACTGCACACAGCAAGAGCACTCAGCCAGCAGCACCGCATCGGAGGCACGCAGAGCAGAGCCCCAGAGCAATAACCATGAAATGCACATCAGCCTTCACCCACCTTTTGCAATTGCTCCTGGCTCTTCTTTGATTTTTTCTTGGGTGCAAATAAGTGATCATATTCTTCTGCATATTCCAGAAGCCGTTTACTTGGCTTTCTAAGGCGTTTCCTCTCTGAATGTACTAAGAAAAAAGAAAGCCACTTCAGCAGTGTGTTTCTGAAAGGATCACAAGGCAAAGTTCTTCGCATGATCTGCAGATAACAGCTGCTCCTGCCTTCTCTTCCAGAGCCTCTATGTGGAAAGAGCCCCGATGCTCCTTTCTCTTTAAAACAGCCTTACAACTTTCGAGCTTCCAATTTTCCACAATCCTGACATGGCAGGCGGGATTTTGAAGGACCCAAGGGATTTCAACCAGTTCAGATTAGAAATCAAAAAACATCAGATATCTGACTGAGAAGATCCTGGAATTTCACTGAATGTCTCCCTAGAGAGACTACATCCAACCTTCTTGCACTACCTCACCAAAACCAAAGTCTATTGGCAACTCGGACCCATCGCGCTACTTTTGCTGTTAGCGCAAACGCCTTTGGATTTAGTGCAGAACGTGAAAACTCTGTTTTCCTGTGGCACGGTTCAGTCGCTAGCTTCACAAGCAACACATAAGCCCAACTCCTTCCCTTCCCCTCCTCCCTGGCTTATTTCTGTGTATACTACAAGAGCCTCGTATTGCCCATCTGCTGCTGCAAACCCTTTTATTGCCTTTGCTGCCCGACAATGGATTGCACAATGAGATCAGGGAGCGAACGCTTCTCGCCAGCGACTGCAGCCTCTTCAGGGCTCAGATGGCTTTGTTTGCACAGCGCTGCGCCATCGCAAGGGAAACCCAGTAACAGGTATTTCCTCGATACAAACCTAACCCACTACCTCACAACACCCCAACACGTGACAAGCTCCCAAAAAGAGCCCTGGTGCCCTACATCATCTCTACTCAGCAAGCTGCAAAAGCAGGATGATGCAAGTTTGTCTTTTTCTCACTACCTGGGATACCTCTGAGTTCTGCCCTTTATTAGTTTCCAAAATTATTAAACAATGTTGTCAAAAGATTTCTCCTAGTCACGAAAATATTTGCGGTCTCCTGCAGGTTTAGGAACAAACAGTAAATATTCTCTTTGCTTCTTTTCATGTGTAGGAGGTGCTTTCTCTTCCTCAGAATGGAAACATTTCATAAAAAAGCATTCCAGTGCAACACGTAGAACAGGGATGTTGGACAAGATTGCTACACTTTATTGTGGCTTTGTGGTTAAACAAGCATGAAAACACCAAGCTTGGCCAAAAGAGAAGGAAAGAACAACTTTCTCAAACGCTTTTCTCGAACAGCTGCTTTCAGCCTCTGTGAGCTGCAGTCAGTCTGACTTCCAGCACCGTTCTCTCTACTTTCTATATAATTGGCCTTGCATGATACAAAAGGGACTGGTTTCCACGAATGAGCTTTCCATGGCACTAGAGGTCTGACCACTACCACCAGCACATTGGGTGTTACAGCGGCCCAGGCAGCTCCTCACACACACAGAGGCTCCAGCACCTCACTATGGCACGTCTGCAGAGCTGAGCTTCAGGTGTGCTTCAAGCCTCACATGCTGTTTAGGGCAGGGGAATTCGATTACACTGCGGTCGCTGCTCCTACACTGCTGATCCATCACCTGGGAAGCCAGGCCTTCACTGCATCCCTGCATGCAGTACCAGGACAGCTCTGCGCTCCTCTCCACTGACACCATGTCCCCTAGGAGGCTGCTGCCTTCCTCTGCCGCTTCTCTTAACATCACTACCTCTCAGCAGCTCTTCTCTAGCTCTGTAGACTTGCATCTTTATCTCACATAGCAACATTACAGGGATGCTTCAATCGCAAAACCATCACAAAGCCAGGAGAACCTGGCTGCATCTCGGTGCAAACCAGGAACCTGCTCCCTCTGGCAGGCAGCGACACTCCTGTGTCGACAGCCCAGAACAGTCTGCGTCCTCCCAATGCCTTGTGACGAGTGAAGTGCTCAAAAACACACAGCCACAGGAGCCAGCGAATGATTAAGCCTGTCACGATTTCAAACCAGAACTTTCACCCTGTGTGTTACACCCTGCAGGCTCCTTTTCTGTGCCTGCTGTGACTTGCCCTGGGCAGGTCCTGTGACCACTGAAGTCAGGAGCTGCCTTTTCCACACTGAAACAGAGGTAGAGGCAACCTCCAGCAACCGCTTGTATCAAAATACTCGCACCAAGACGTGCGCTGAGGAAGCACGTAAGTGACAAAATGCACACAGGTTCAAAATTCTGTCAAGTTGTATCAATTTACAAAACTGCAAATAGATCAGAGCAATTTAGTTTGGTGAAATCTAGGTAAAAAATTCATTCTGCTTTCATTAAAGTTTGCTTCCCCAGATTCTTTGCAGAAACCTGAGACAGTACATGTTGAACATGGTTCTGCTGGACCGATCCCCTCCCAATAGCACCGTATTTTTTTTTATTTTCCTTTAACAAATGTCCCCATCTCTGTGGGACACTCAGGGCTGCCTGACTTTGTGGTCTTCACAAGCCTCCTCCTTCCAGGTCCACTCCCCTCCAATGATGCTGCCTTACCTCTGCCTGCCATTTGCCAGACCCACCTCCACCCCAGCCTCCCTGGCAGCTTCCTCCTCTCCTGTTCTTTCCTTCACCCTCAGGCAGCCACATCAGAGCTGTAAACCAGGAAATCTGAGGGGTTCCCCAATTCATTATTAGCAGCTAATAAAATTCCACACTAAAACGTCAAAAAAACCCAACTCGTTGTCTCGATGAAATCCTACAGGACAAACCAAACAGACTCTACCCACGTCAAACAGCACTAGAAAGAAAAAAAAGTAAGAGCAGCCATTGAGGCTCAGTTTCTCACAACTATCTAACACTGATCGATCCAGCTAACAGCAAGCACATGGCTCTAAGGAACACATAACAAAGGTCTAAGTTTAAAATAAGCATCCTTCCAAGTTTGGGATTTTTTTCACCTTTCACTGTGGAGGAACCAATGATCTGTAATGTATTTCAACTCTGACCAAAAAGCTATGCAAAACCCCACCATCACTCTGCTTTCTTTGCTCTCCATGCTTACGGAGAACCCAAAGCAAACATGTCACACCTTCTTCAGGTCAGACACGTACATCTCCGTGTTGTCAAACAGCCCCAAGTTGCACAACTTATGCTTTAAATGAAAAGGTATCAAATGTACACAAATACACACTCTGGCGCAAGTCCAGCTCCCTTACCTTGTGCAGTGAATTCAGACTGGGGAGCAAAGTTGCCAAGCTCTGTTTCTGAGTCCATCACACTGGTGTTTGGCTTACCACATACATTCAAACGTTTCTCAACTACGTCTAAATGATTCTCATAGTCCTGATCTGTCAGGTCTGCCTCAAGCACCTTTGAATGAGGGAAATGCCTACGTCCCAAGCACTCATCTCCCTTCAGTGAAAAGCCACGAGAATTCAGGCCAAAGGCACTCTCCAAGTTTCTTTGTTCCCTAGATCTACTGGCGCGCTTATTAGATCTAGCATGGCTTTGGTTAAAACGCTGCCATCGCTTTTTGGGTGCTACGTGATTTACATTAGACTCATCACCAAGAGAGCTCTCACTATTTGCCTCTGAATCCAAGTCTGGACTCTCCCCATTTTCAGCAGAAGTGCAGCTCTCAATATTTCTACCAGCTTCAGGTCTCCTTCCAACACGACCTAAATTGTCATCAGATAAACAGGCAGAGTCTTCATCGGTTGAATGTTCTGTTACATCAACAGACTCTTTCCTCTCTGTATCTTCTGCGTCATTACCTAGAGGACCGGTAACCGAACCGTGAACGCGGAATGCACGTTCTCCTGAACCTCTGGATAACCGACTTAGCAACTTACTTGGCCCTCCTGGTTTTAAGTCCTTTCTGTTTGAAACTGTTTTATCTCCAAGCTTTGATGACTGCTTAGATTTTGAACAGTTCCGTTTGGGCACGCAATTTGTGCCGTTTGTCCCAAAACCAGCGGTACTCGCGGGCTCCCTTTTACTAGTACCCATCCCCGTCAACTTGGTTGGAGGATTGCGTGAAAATGAGGAGTTGCTTATAGCGGAGTTTGGATTTACTGTTTCCTGGACACAATCTCCATTTTTTTCTATTTTACATTGGGGACCTACAATAGACAAGGACTTCAGACCACTCGAAGAATTGCTTCCAGAACCATCAGCTGTGCTGGCATTTCGAAATGGGACTATATTTTGACCAGTCATCAGTTGCTGCTCTTTTGTCTTACTGTCATGCATATCCTTCAACATCATTAACAAGGTGCTGAACTTGTAATCTGGCTCAATAGGCAAACGACCGTGACCAGAGGTGGGAGAGAAAAGTAAGGGCACTGTGGCCTTCGGAGCACCAGAGTCACCAGCATCGTCACTCATGGACCGGTACGACAGCTCCTTCAGCTCCGACAAGACGTGTTTCACCACAGCAGTTTCGATTTCGGCAGAATCCCTGGGTTTCTCGTGCACGTTGTTTAACAGTTTCTGACCATCAACTTTTCCACTTCTCTTAAGAGAATCTCTCTGAAGGACAGAGAAACCTTTGGTATCAGAAGAGCAGCGATTCACGCCACCCTCCTCATCTGTAAGAGAGGGCTCCAACCCAGTGACTTTTTCTTTATGTTTGCATTTTATACTCCTGATTCGGGGCAATTTCATGCTTTTCGGTTTTAAGATTGCTTGATTTGCAGCAGCAGGCCAGGAGCTGTCCTTGGAAACACTTTGGGGAGTAGTGTGCTTGTTTGGTAGAGTCATTTCTCACATTTGAAGAGCATTCAAGAGCCGTCAATGACATTTCAGCATCAGAGAAGCCTACTTCAAGATCCCTATCTGCAAATTCAGTGCCAAGTCTGCCAGTTACTGAACCTCCCAGAGCTTTGCAGTCTCTGTAGGACTTCTTCCTGGCCCTTCTGTTGGTCTTCTGAGAAAGGTACATGGAAAGTTTAATGTTTCCACTTGATGTCATAGGAAATTCCTTCTTCACTTTATCTGAAGAATCGCTGACTTCAAGAGCACTGGAGGCTCTCTCTGAACTTTGGTCCACGGTATCTACGTCGCTGTTCCCACCATCGGAGAGGGAAGAGGAGGAATCCGATTCAGTTTGCTTTTTCTCAATACTGGCGTCAGATGCAGAATAGTGTATTTGTAATTTGGAGCTGCACAAAATGCCCAGGGAGCTTTTCTCTCTCTCCAAAGATGCGCTGGAAAACAAATTCCCTTGAAGAGTGTTCTTCAGAGCATCGCTTTTACGATTCTCATAGTCCGGTTTCAAAAGCGTCTTTTCAAAACGTCTTTCTCCAAAGGAGGAAAGCAAATGGTTTTCCCTGGTGCTGCTGGACGCTGTTAGGCTGTTGGCGATCCGGCGAAGCTCGTGAGAGGCGTGTTTATCTGGTAGGTCCCCAACTATCACGTTTCTAACTATGCTCTCTGGCGTTTTTTCTTTTTCTTTGATTTCTACCCTAGATGCTTCCCCTCTTGCACCGCTCTTTTTTACTCTAGTCCTTTTTCTGCTGTCAGAGCTCTTTTTCACATGTGGCTTCGTGTGCAATTTTCCTTTTTCACCGGCTGGGTGTCTGGAGTCAAACGCCAGGGATTTAAAGCAGCCATTCAGCTGCCTGTCCCTTTCTGCTCCAGGGCCATTGGCATAGTACTCCAACTGCACTTCCTTCTCGCTGTCCAGCTCGCTGGAGTTCTGGCTGCACTTCTGATCCTCCGGCCCCCCGAGAAGAATGTCTTCTGCCTGTCCAACACTGACTTCCCACTTAGCCATAAATCTCTGAGGAACCTTAAAGTTGGAGGAGACAAAAACAGAAAAAGAACAAATTTGATGGGGTAAGCCACAAGATAAAAGTGAGACAGACACAAAAAAGGCACAGAACAGAGTGATGCACTTTGCATCTTTAAGACAATCACATGGATTCCCAGAGGCTGTGCATATTGGACATCGAAAATGCGGCCTGGGTAAGTACCCTGCACTCCTGCCGAGCCTAATAAAAATCCCTGACTATTCCCAAAACAGCAACAATGTCCCTGAAAGCACAGGTCTCCCAGGAACCAGATGTCCTGGCATCCCAGCAGACCCTGAATACAACAGCCTGGAAAGGGGAATACATATGGTATGGATCCCTGGCAGAGAAATGCAAAACAACAGCCAAAAAGCCTCTCAAGGCAAAGACAGCATCACTTTCCTTAAAATATTTGAGCAGACGTGCTCAAATGTGCTTTGCTCATTCTTGATTCTTTCTGCACCCCGTGAACTCAGAGCACAATTCAACCTCTCCTCTCCATCAACTCACCTTGGGACAAACATGAGGTCCACACGTGCAATTAGAAAGTATTCTAACAAATTCATTACGTCCATCGCCTAGAAGTCTCCCAGCTTTAACTCTGTACCTTTAGTATAAAGCAAAATACTCTGCATACAAAACAGGAACTTCTGCTAACATCTAAAACCAGCAAGAAACTTGTTTCTTATCTGCATGTGTAGTTCTTGGCTGCACAACAGCAAATCAAAGGCTTCACAATGGCTCCTAAAATCAAAACCAACTCCAAAGCAGGAGAAACAACTCAAAATTTCTGACCCTTTTCCTTTAAAAAAATCACAATCCACACCAACAAAATCTCATCTCAGCAGATTAAAAAAGTTTTACAGAGCCTGACAGCAAACCAGCCAAATACTCTCAGCTTTGCATCAGATCTTGGCTTCCAGGAATGAAAACCTGGACATTTATGCAAGGAACAAACATTTGATTCCTTCTACTGCAGCCACACTGGCACTGCCATTTACACACAGGATGAGATTGCAGCCATGCAGCACTTCTAGGACCAGAACAGTTACTCGGGAACACGTAAAGAGTTGTTAGGGGGCCGGGAACACAAGGAGAGAAGTCCTTAAAGAGGATACTGAACATGTCCATGGAAAAGGAAAACCAAATGAGAGCATTACACCCGGGGACTCACATCTGCAGGAGCACATTTAATCTGATGGTTTTGCACTAACATGGGTTAAGTACTTAACTGCTAACAAACCTCTTGGAAAAAGAGAAAAAAAGCAAAACCAGACACCATTGCCTAGTACGACACTCTGCTCTCCCACAGTAACGCAGCAGCCTCTGTACTTCTTCACTTTAGCAATTCTAAAAGTTAATTTCTGCAGTCACCTTCCTGAAGACACAGACCAGACCCCTGTGTCACGTTACATTACACTGGCTGCGACTGCTCAGGGCTGTTCTGTTTGGAAACAAGCTGATGTGATGAGCCACAAAACTCATTCCCACAGGCTCACTGACAAAGCATCTTCCAAGTCAAATTATAAGTCCTAATAGGTTTCTATAAAGAGAATTACTGAACCAGGGCTAAAAACCTCACTGCTTTATCTCAGCCAGTGACCTAGTGAAGCGTGCAACTCCACCTCTGCTTCAGATCAGCCAAAAGAGGCTGCCAGAGAGCACAGAAAGTTATTTAGAAGCATGCTTGTCGTGGTTTACACAGTTGCTCTATCACCCGATGCCTCCTCCCTGCCCAGGGAGCGGGTCAGGAAAAGGAAAGGAGATTCGTGGGTTGAAATAGAAATATATTTAATAAAATAATAACATAACCCAGTATTAGTAACAATATTAATATAAAGTACACAGACTTATATTTGGCCAATACTGGGGGGGAGTAGGCCTCAGGGGTAGGATGTTAACAAGTCCCTCTCAACATGTCAGGGATGGAGGAGGAAAGAAGGAAGGAGAAGGGCTGTCCCCAGCAAACTCCCTATTTATAGTGAATGTGACGTTTATGGTATGGAATAGTAGTAATGGGCCAGCCTGGGGTCAGCTCTCCTGAGTTTCCACCTCCCCCAGCCTCCATAACCATTTACCTCAAGACTGCTGAAGACCTTGAACACTGCATACCAGCTTTAGGTGAAAAACTTAAAAGTTTTATCACTTTGTTCACATGAAATAGAGGTTTGTAGTCCCTACAAAAACCAGTTTTCCTCAACAGAAAACTGACACTCAAATTCTGAGGCAGTAAATCAGGACACAGCTGTAACAGGCAACAGGAGAGGGCTGCACTGAACACATCTCACACCAACAGAGACCCAACTGCTCCGCTTCTCAGAGCTGTCCAGGGCAATAAAAGCTGCAGGCCACACCTCAACATAAACTACACTCACAATAAGGATGCAAAGAACTGTGTGGCATTGCTGCAGTCAAGAAAGCTGCTGAACTGCAATCCCAGGCATAAAGGAATACTTGGTGCTGTGCGGATTCAAAGAATCAAAAACGTTAGAGAAAACAGGTCTTTCACCTTATGTTTGTAGCCTTTTTCCTTTTGCTTTCCTCTTCTCCGAAGAATGGGCAGCTCTTCAAACTGATGTCTTCCTTCGAAGAGGACAATAGCTTTCCCAGCAACCCAGGTTTTCTCTGAAGGTTCTCCTAAGGCATCCACATAGTACTCTCGGTATGGTCTCCGATTGGAAACTACTTTGAGAAACGTAACACAATTAACCCCTTGCATACAATGGAATAAAGACAGCAAAGAGAATTACAGAAAGTGACAGCAATTTGCCCATTAATTTTCAACTGCTATTTGCTTAACAACACTCCCGTATGAATGCCAGTTCTGGGGATTTCTAGTCAAAAGTCAGGGAGACCCCTTTGATCTCTGCTGTCCATGTTTTGTGTTGCTATGCTCTACTTCTGAATTATTGTTTTTTTCTTACAAACAGTTGACTAACAGCTCTAGGATGGGTCCTCTCCCTAGAGCAAAGACTACAGTTTGGCTGCAAAAAAACCAAAACTGCAAAAATACAGGGGTTTTTTTTCTTCCTTGAGAGACACAACATATTGGGCTTAACATTTCTTTAATGTTGCACCCTGATTAATGATTAAACAGTCCAGTCCACTTGACCCTTGGGAAAAGGCAACAGTGCACCAGCAACACCCAGAAATGACATCCTTCTGGACAGGATTTACTCATGGAGGCTGAGCCTCCCTCACTACAATATAGCCCATCTTGTTTAATGTTTGTTACCAAACAAACTGGTACTTAGGACATTAAACATTAACAGCAGCACCGAAGTACACACACAGACACACATTACACACACGGACTGATGCAATACAACAATGTCAGATGTAATGAGTATCTTCACACATTGTGCACAAAGGTGCAGAGCAGGAGAAGAAACTCAACCACAACGGCACAATCAAAGATTTCTCCAAGGTGTTTTCTATGTGAGAATGCTGAACAGACAGGGGGCAATTAAGAACTGAACCAGCACTGGGAGTGCTGGTGAAAAAGGACAGGTTACAAGCATGAGAACAGAGCAAACAAGGCTTGAACAAGGGATATCAACTTCTCCCTGCATTTTGCTGTAATGTGTGCTTCACGTTCTCCTGGGAATGCCTTCACCCTCTGGATATTGCAGCCCTCTTAGCTTGTGCTGCCTCTTCCAGGAGAGCAGCAGCCTGGCCTTTAGTGATGCTGACACTGAGATCCTGACCAAGATGACTGAGAGGATAACTAATAACGACCGGGGCAACGGCAGGCCAAGGGCAAAGACGACAGACTTCATCTGTCCCATTCACAGTGCTGGGGCTCAAGTCACTGAGCCTCAATCTTCCAGCTCTAAAGGAGTCAAGAGCTTGCTGAGAAAAGGCAAATTGCTTTAAACAGAACACCACGCCTCAGACCCCAGAGGAGAGGAGGTTTTTGCACAAGTGATGAGTATGAAGCGACCTGCACTGTTTTGGAGGGCTCGTTCCCTTGGCAACAGGAGAGCCAAGGCAGGAGGACTGTGCTTCCCTCAGAGTCCCGGCAGCAGCCCCTGCCCAAAAGCACCAGAGTTCAGATCCACTCACTCTGCCACCTCAGCATCCAGGAGGGAAGATGAGAAGACTGCATAGAGCCACAACTGGAAAATGCTCTTGTTCCCAGAGGTCTACTGGTTTGAACACAGATAGAACATGATGAGAGAATCTATTGTGCAGTTGGAGATCAAACCTTGCTGCAATTTATTAAGAGCATGTTTCCTCCCTGAAGAACTTCCTTATTAGAAATCCTCATGCACAGGCTGAGAGGGGATTACTGGAAAGCCATACACGTTAAATCCCATCCAAAACTTCATGGGGAGGGATGCAGGGGGAGAATATGTCTGATATATCTTCCAGCAACATTTTCAACAGAAATTTGAGAGCCTGAAAGGGACTATATAAAACAGCATATTCAGTATTACCTAGAATCAGGATTGATGCCTCCCAAAGGACGAAGGGAAAGGTGGAGAAATAGCAAGTAAGACAGCAACCAGACTTGGGGATGACGTGAGCACAGTGTAGGAAAAGCTACTTCATGTCTCCAGAGGAATAGCAGAGGGCTCTTGAGCTGATGGCCACTCAAAAAAGTCTACTCGCTTTCAGCACTTGGTTCCTAGACTGGCAAGGACCACAAAAACTAGAGAGAAATCCATCGGTGAGTGGCAACCTCACCAGTCCACAGAGCTGTCAGTGCCAGATGGCACCGGTTCAAGGGGTTTCCAGTTGACCGCAGAACAAAAAGAATCAGACGGGGAAAGCAGGCACAAATAAATAAGCCTTCCGTTTGTGGCAGTCTCCCCATGGCAGCTACCATGATCCTAAAAGCACTGACAGCCTTCAAACGAGCTGCAATTTCCAAACAATTCACTTCCCCCCTGTTCTCTCCATCACTCACCCACTGCACTTCTCTGCCTTGAGCTGGTAAAGTCTCTTCCTTCCTGGCTCTCCCCTGCATTCACGCACACACAGATGTCTTATTTCCCCCACCTCTTCCCCTCACATTCAGCTGGCTCTTAGTTTCTCTGACATACGTGCCCTAAACTTTCACATATGTGGCTCCATCTCCAGGTTTTTCCACTTTTTCCCCATAAACAGCCCCTTAATTCCTTGTGCCAAACAAGACCAAAAAAAAATTTCACTTCCTCACACATCCCCATCACACCTTCATGCATTTGGCAGCTCCGCTGTGCCACTCCCTCCCCCAGCCCCTCAGCCTCTCCAGCTCCCATTCCCCAAGCCTGGCCAACTCTCCATGTCCTCACACACTTGAAGCTTCCCAGCTTTGCTTGCCCACCCATTGCACATCTTTTGTCCTCCCATCCCTGATTCACCTCCTTTTCCTCTGCACCTTTCTTTCAAGATGCTGCTCTTCCTTCTGCACTGCCTGGAGCTCAGCCCAGCTGCTCATCTTTCCTGTGCCCTGGGCAGAAAAGCCCACTCGTCCAACAGCCGTGTCACCTCCAGCACCCTCAGCCCCATCTTCTTCCTGCCACCCCCTTCATGTAGCTCTACTGTACAGAACCAGGTGTTCCACAGTACAGTCTATTTCTTCACACCTTTCAAGGGCCAAAAATGTTTTTTTTTATTAATTAAAAACTGCAGCACCCTGCCATACACAACATCTCCACTTTGTGGTCTGAGTAGATACAGTACCTTTCATTTTTGAGTGACAGTCCAGCACTGGGTCATGACAAATTGTGCATGGCCACCATGGGCGTCTGTTGAACTTGGCCCAAACAAGATCCCCAACTTCATACTTCACTGGAGTAGGTTTCTTCTTGGCTCGGATCTTTAGGGAAAAACCAGAACACAAGAAATCACTAAAGCTCCAGATGCTTTTAAAGAGATTTGCATCCCCCCTGTGTGCAGATTACATCTGGTCACCAGAGACATTAACATTACAAAGCAAGTCCTGACTTTTCTTAGTGGCTCCTATACCTTCAAATAACAGGATGGTTCTCCCCATCCTTCTGAAAGAAGAAAACAATAAAAAAGGGTTTGAAAGGGTTTTTTTGTTATTTTTTAGTAAATGGCTGCACTCAAACTTCACACATTTGAGCAGGTAAGTATTTAGTGGCACTACCAGCCCCCCTCCCCATTACTTCACAAACACCAATTTGTTCATTTCAAAGGTTGCAGTGTACAGGAAAAGTAGCAGTAAGCAACAGTGAAATATTCCTGACTGGAAAAAGGTGATGAGAACAACAAATTAAGCATTTATCAATTACCAGAAAAAGAAAATTAAAAGAAAAGGTTGGTATGTTATGTACAAGTTAGTAACTTCCCTGCTTCTCAGATGTGCTTCAGGAAAAAGCTTCACCATGAAGTACTTGAAACCAAAGGCAGGTACAATCAGAAAAAGCCCTCACGTCCTGATTTTTAGTTTGTATGAGCAGAACTGCCATTGGTTTGCCCCAAAACTACAGAGCAGGAGAAAGGGAGCACAACAGCAGTCACCTCTCTTTTAAGGGGCAGACGGTCACAGGCTTTGCCCATCTCCAAAACCTGCTCACAGGCATCAACTCTGCAGCAACAGGATCCCGAACCCACGCTGCCTCCCAGGGCCACGCAGCGATCACAAGAACATCAAAACCTTTCAACGCACAAAAACCTAATGCTGCTTGATGCCGTATTCTGTGCTGTTTGCACAAACGCACGCTCTCTGGACAGTGTGCTCCCAGCAGGACCTCTGCCAAAAAGTGGATGCAGGAGCTTACGGGCGCTGCGACTACTTGAGCCAAGACGGGGTGCAACAGGTTTTCAAGGGATACAGGAGCTCCTGTGCCCAGCTGTGGGGTATCCTGCCTGTTCACCAGAACCAACGACTGACTGCAGGCAGGTTCAGCATTTTAAGATCTCTAAGAAGTGCAGCAGGTATTATTTCTGCCAATAAGCGTTAGCAATGTGCTCCTCATTAAAGCTGTCATAGCACAAACATACACCTTCTCACTTCACTTGTCCATCCTGCTCACCACTCTTCCCAAGGCACGTCTCTTGCAATTCACAGTTCAACATCCTAGCAACTGAAATGCAACAGACCTCTCTAATAAAAGCTCTGTTCCGCTTCACGTTGAGTTTTATGGGTTTTCTTCATGCGGTTAAAGAAAATACAAAAGGATAAACTCCTCTGTTACATGAAAAAAAGCAGGTAACGACATTACAGACTACATTGCTGAAATTCTTCTCACTCAGTCCTCAAAAGCCACGCAATAACTTATCACTGAGCAGGAGTTCAGGAACAGGGAACGTGAAGGAGCCGCCGGGCAGGGGGCTGCAGACGCTGCACCGCTGCCCTGCCGCAGCCTCTGTGCCTCCACCACGCCCCGCAGGCTTTCTGGAACAAAAACACACATCCACAGCAGTGCTGCCTTTGCTAGCGCTTTTAAAATGCACATGTACTTTCAGATGCAAAGTCCCCATTTTTTTGGTCCACTTCCAGCTTGCGCACTTCCTGTAAAGGCAACTTTTGCCTCAATTTTTCTTTTTAACCCATTTTTCAACCCTAGGGGCATGTGTGTATCACAACTGACGATCTCAAACGCGGTGCACAGTACCACACAAGGCATGTGCACCCTTACCGACAACTGTAACCTGAGCAGGGCCGGCCGGACACGGCGCTAAACCTCCGCTGGAGATCTGCCAGAGCCATTCCCGCTGATGCACCTAAGGAGCACCCACAACCCCTGCCCAGAGGCAAGTCTGCATTTAAATCAACTCTTTGTCACTCTCTAATACCCCACACACAGACGTGGCTTTCAAGAAACTATGCAGACAATGCTTAAGCAGTTATCTCTCTTTCCAGCAGTCCCCAGCTATTCTCATTCCTCCTTGGAGGCTCTCCCCCTTCCCCAGCACCTGGGGATGTTGGCTTCATCACCACCCACCACAAAGGCACCCCAGGGGTGGATGAGGCAGATCAGGAAGAGCCGTGACAGTTCACACTTCAGTGGGTCAGCGTCTTCTATCTTCTCTCCACTCCCCTAAATCCCCACCACTCGGCCAGAGATACCTTCACGTTAAAAAAAAAACCCCAGCAGAGTGAAAGCAGCGGTTATTACCACTTCCAGGTACAGTAAGTCACAGCTCGGGTCAGAATACAACAAATTTCATCCCTATCACAACTAACCTTTACTACGCCAAGATCAAATCGCTAATACATCCCAATGGCCAAAACCTCAGCCCTGCAGTAGCGGTGACTCTTCTGGGCGCTAGGGAAAGCCCAGGTCTTTTAAACAACACAAACTTCAGATGTAATCTCTACCTATGGTCAGAGCACCGTTTACCTACAGAGCACAGAAAGTGTTTAAACAACAACAAAGCTCGTAAGCCACTGCATACCAGGTAGGGACTGCGTTGTAACTGCAGTGGAGAGACACTGAAGAAATTCAAAGCAGGTGAGAGACTGGGTTAGCGCGGAAGGGAAGGACAGCGCCTTGCTTGCAGCAGGGTTTCCTATTGTCAGACACTCTCCTAAAGGGAGGAGTGCTGTCTGCTCCGTTATCAACTGTTTAGCATTAATTTGCTGTTCAGATGGGACAAGACGCAGCCTGAACTCCTCAATACAGACAATACACAGTATTTTAGATAACTCTGTGCTCTTTTAGGAAAACACAAACAGGATTACAAGCTGGCCTTGCTTGCAGCAGGGTTTCCTATTGTCAGACACTCTCCTAAAGGGAGGAGTGCTGTCTGCTCCGTTATCAACTGTTTAGCATTAATTTGCTGTTCAGATGGGACAAGACGCAGCCTGAACTCCTCAATACAGACAATACACAGTATTTTAGATAACTCTGTGCTCTTTTAGGAAAACACAAACAGGATTACAAGCTGAGGTATGAAAACCACCTCCTGAATTTGCAGTGTGCCAAACACTCCAGGTCCTTGCGCTTCACTGAGCGAAGCTGAGCACCGACTTTCGGTATTTCATGAGAAAGCAGGCTCTCACAGACAACTACACAAGGAGCATCTCTGCCTTCCTGAAGTTCTCACCATAAGGCAAGTAGGAAATGTACACAATCACAGAATAATTCAGGTTGGCAAAGACCTTGGAGATCATCAACCAAGCAAAGAAAGCTGACATTTCTGAGCGTGTTCAGAGGAGAGCCACAAGGATGGTGAGGGCTCTGGAGAACAAGCCTTATGAGGAGCAGCTGAGGAAACTGGGCTTGTTTAGCCTGGAGAAGAGAAGGCTGAGGGGAGACCTCATCACCACCTCCAACTGCCTCAAGGGAGCTTGTGGAGAGGTGGGTGCTGGTCTCTTCTCCCAGGTGATGGGGGACAGAACAAGGGGAAACGGCACCAAGCTGTGCCAAGGGAGGTTCAGGTTAGAGATAAGGAGGAAGTTCTTTACTGAGAGGGTCATCAGAAGCTGGAACAGGCTGCCCAGGGAGGTGGTGGAGTCACCATCCCTGGATGTATTTAAAAAGCAGGTAGACAAGGTACTTAGGGATATGGTTTAGTGGGTAGATAGGAACAGTTGGACATCATGATCTTAGAGGTCTTTTCCAACCAAGCGATTCTGTGTGTGTGATTTCTAAGTGATTTTATTACTGCATGCATACTATCAGTCCTGAACTGTCTCTCACCAATCTTCTTCCCTTTAAAGCGACCACATCATTAAAAGGTGACAAAAATAACACTTAGCCAGCAATCCTGGCTACCTCATTTGAAGCTGCTGTTCAATTCCTTAATCTTGCTGGAAGAGGCATCAAGACACACATGTGCTACGTGGTGTTCCCTTCCTGCAGCAATGGGCACCTTTGTCCCAGCTGGAGCAGTATGGTCACCTCCAGCGCAGTGTGGCATGGCTGCATCCACACCACGTGTCCCAACAGCGTGACCGGGGACACGACCATCTTGGCAGAGACACAGCAAGACCAAGCTGCACACAAAGGCGCAGGTGAATACATTGTTACAGGCCCAGATTTTCAGTATCAATGCTGCTGAAGAGCCTGGCTGTCCAAAGTCCAAGCACCAAGCTGCAGCCATCACAGCCCTACACACTTCAAATTTAGATCTGTTTTGGAAAACCAGCATGAAAATGCCTGGCCAAAAAGACCTTATTACAGTTTACTTCTGACTTCATGATAAACGTGACATTATCCAAAGAAGCAAGGGACAGGACATGCTTTTGGAGAAAGGCTGGAGCAGCACAAGAGATCGTGTGCAAGAAGGATGGAGAAAAGCAAGAAGGAAGCCACTGACCTCCAAGAATAATGGAGCCAAGATCCTGCCAAGCCTGTTTCAGGCACAAAGTGGACAGAACCAAACCAAGGAAGAAAATAAAAGGAGGCAGCCACATCCAGAGGATAATTAAACAACAAGGTACAAACAATGACACTAATAGCCTTTTCCGCAGCAGATACCTGCCCAGGGCACTGCAGCGGAGCAGGGGATATCTGGTGAGCAGATCTCACCACAGCAGCAGCTGCCAGGGAAGTCACACCCCACACAGCAGCGCCAGGGGCAGAGGGCAGCCACAACTGCCCCCCAGAGAGAGCTCCCAGTGCTCTCCTCGTACCTTCTGGTTCCTGGGCAGCAGCTCTTGTGCTTCTCCCTGCAGCCCATCTACCCCCAGGATTGCAAGCAAGCTGTTCCCAGTATCTACTTACTTGTTAGAACAGGAGGCCTCGGGAGGGTCAGCACACTGTCTTCCCCTCCCACCCCTTGTTTTCCTTGAAGTTCAATGATCATTAGTTTTTTCCTGAACAGGATGAGATGACAAGGAGTTCACCTACTTCCTATGAGCCACCAAACCACCCCCAGACACAGCTGAACCGGCTGAAGATC